CCGCAGTATAATCAGTAGTAAAGCAACCAAAAGTAATTACAAGTGAGACCTAACTAAGGAGCTAGGGGGACTCATTCCCGAGTGACTCTTCCTTTGCTTCAGAAAACCGAATCATTTCCTGCTTTCTTACTGCTTTTAGTTAAAACCACAATCAATCGACTTAGTTGGCTAGATAATAGATATTCACGGAGTAGGCAGTAGATGTAGACCCCGGGTTGATAATTAGAACTTGCCACTTTACTGCATTTCCGGACTGTGATTACACTTGGTCGCAGTTTGGTGTTGTGTTTTAGCGTCTCACACACCTATCCTCAACCAGCGGAGTCCATATCAAGCTCTCTTCTCTCGGATTCCCGACTATAGTTGGCTACGTGTCTTCGGGTGTGTGTGCTATGTTCTGTTAAGCAAACGTGAACGCAATAAACTGACTTCCAAAGCTGTAAAGTGTGTCTTTCTTGGCTATAGTGACAAACACAAAGGGTACGTGTGCTATGATGTTTCCAACCGACGGGTTCGCATTTCGTGTATGTGGTGTTCCTCGAACATCAATTCTACTATGGTTCGGCAGCCTTGGCCGTTGCTCCCTCATCTCAGCATTTGAATTTCTTGCGTCCATTTGAGGGTGATTTAGTTGAGGACATTCCCACCGCGAACACATCATCATCTTCAACTGATGCTTCTGATTCTAGTGGCTCCTCACCTTCCATAATAAGCTCCTCATCCAGCTCTTCTATGTCGCCTCATGGAGACACAAGCTCTAGCTCCTCCCCGTCACCTCTTAGCTCTTCCTCGTCTAGTGCTGGATCTACTTCAGGTAACAGCCAGTCCATTCAAGCTTCGGTTCCTTTCCATCTCGAGGAAGAAGAGGTTCCTCTCCTTCGACGGTCAAACCCTATCAACAAAAGGAAACCTCCCGCTCACCATTCCAAGTTTGTGGCATTCTCTACTTCATCCATTGTTGTTCCTACCACGTAAAAATAGGCCAAGGGTCATGAAGAATGGGAACGTGCTATGCAGGTTGAGAGTGAAGCTCTTGATGCTGCTCACACTTGGGACTTAGTTCCCCGTAGACCGGAGTATGCAGTAATCGTGAGTAAATGTGTCTATAACATCAAGATGTATCCGGATGGGACGATAGAGCGACACAAAGCACGGGTAGTCGCACAGGGGTATCGCCAGGAGTATGGTATCAATTATGTGGAGACTTTTGCTCCAGTGGCCAAGATGCAGACGGTTCGCTGCCTGTTGGCAGTAGCTGCTATGAAAGGATGGTAATTGACTCAGCTTGATGTGAAGAATGCATTTATTCACGGTGATCTTAAGGAAGAAATTTATATGGAACGACCACCTGGATATACTAAAGGTGATAGATCGATGGTCTGTCGTCTTCGTCGATCTTTGTATGGTCTCAAGCAGGCACCGCGAGCATGGTTCGAGAAGTTCCAGGAGACTATTTTACAGGCGGGTTTTGTTCAAAGTGACAGTGATCCCTCTCTTTTTTCTTCGGACCACGGCTCGTGGGCTTACTGTTCTCCTAATCTATGTGGACGACATGGTTATTAGTGGTGATGATGAGGAAGGTATCAGTGAAGTAACTTGTGTGTTGCGTTCGGCCTTTAACCTAAAAGAGCTCGGCACTCTTTCCTACTTTTTGGGCTTAGTAGTTCATTGTTCGTCGTTGGGCATCCACGTTGGCCAACGTAAGTATGTGATGGACTTACTTGAGGAGGCACAGATGGATAATTGTGTTCCTTATGCCACTCCTATGGAGCAAAACCTCAAACTGAGACAGACGAATGGTGATGTTTTATCAGATGGCTCTATGTATCGCAGCATCATTGGTAGTCTCATCTACTTGACTCACACGCGTCCGGACATATCTTATGTCGTACAGGTTATCAGTCAATATATGTCTGCTCCCCGTTCCACGCATTGGTTGGCGGTTCAACGGATTATGCGTTATCTTAAGGGTACTACTGATGTCGGGTTGTTATTTCCAGCAGGGGGCGAACCTGTTCTTGAAGCGTATGCTGATGCAAACTATGTTGGTTGCCTGGATACTCGACGTTCCACTTTGGGGTGGTGTGTGAAGATAGGTTCCTCTTTCATATCATGGCGGTGCAAGAAACGGGATAGGGTTTCAAAATCGTCTCCTGAGGCGGAGTATCGATCTATGAGTGAAGTGGCATATGAGATTACTTGGCTTAGTCGGCTCTTAGCCGAACTTGGGGTGGTAGTGCGAAGACCAGTGAGATTGCACGTTGATAATACTATTGCGATTCGCATCGCGACCAATCCTGTTCTACATGATCGGACGAAGCCCATCGAGGTTAATATTCATTATATTCGACAGTTGGTGACTGAAGGTACTGTGGAGCTTGCTTACATTACTACGGAAGATCAGACGGAGGATTTGTTGACTAAGGCGGTTTCATCCGCCAGTCATTGGTTTCTAGCACACAAATTGATGTTGCGTCAGCATCATCAATTTGAGGGAGGGTGTTAGAAGTTAATGTACTGATTTGTAATTAACCATAGGGTTATTAGGCCGGTTAGTATATATATGTTGATATGGCCGCCCTAATTATGTAAGTTGTACGAAACCTAATACAAAAACTCTCTGCCTTGTGCCGTGGACTAGTCTCAACGTTCTATGTTGAGTAAACCACGTAAATCCGGTGTTCGTGATCGATTTTGTGTTAATTGACAGTTTTAGTAGTTGATTACTTTACGTGAGGTTTGTCTTTCATTTTCGTAAAGAATTTTAAGTCTACAAGTCAGTTAGAGTGTCATAAAACACTATGATCTTAATCCTCTTAAATGGTTCAAATATTTTAATAATTTGAATTCTTTTATTTTACCAATCCTTTTAAATGTTTAAACTATTTGAATAATTTAGATTTTCTTACACTACCAGCTAAACATTTATCTCATATACTAATTGCTTCTATAATTTATGAGATTGAAAAAATTTTCTGGTCAACTGGCCGGCACGTGACTAGTTTATGATGATGAACCATATACTTTTGTATAACAGCCCACTATTAGCAGAAAAGGGCAGTAGAGTGATCGTTATTCGATACTAGTAATATTGATAGTAGTTACATTAGGTACAAAATCGTATACAAATACAACACAAGAAAGAATTTTGTGGCATTGCCAGGAGGCAGTAGGTAGTTCTAACTTCTAATTAACAATCAACAGATCGAGAAAGAAGAAATGAAAAGAAGTGGGGGTGGGGGGATCTAGCTAACGATCGAGGTGAATTATTAACAAGCAAAAACGCAGAGGAACCCATTACTGGAAGCCGCAAAATGACTGCCCAAAAACCTCCAGCCGGTCCTTTTTCTTCTTCTTCTTCTCATTCAGGCATTCCTGTCACGTAGGAAATCAGCGGTTGTGAAGTGGGTCGGAAGCGTTGAAATCAGCGACCGAGGTCGTGCTCTGTTTTGTTACGAGGACTGACTGTATTTATGTTGTCGGCTGCTGAAACAAAGAAAAGGTATAGGAACATCAGAATCGGCGAGGGAGAGGGAGAGAATCGCAGTGTTTCAAACAGTGGGTTTGGGAAAAGAAATATTTTAAGACAGGGGGTAATGGACAGGAGAGTGAGCAAAAGGGGCGGGGGAGGGGAGAAGAATACAAGCAGAAGATGTTGTAGTAGAAAAACAAAACAAAAAGGCAATTCTTCTTCTTCCAGTATAGATCACTACGGGAAAAGTGGCATTTGGCAACACTTGAAATGTGTTGCAAAAGGTGTCGAAAGTGTTGCGTATGCAATATGCAACACTTTTACTAGTGTCCTCTATAGGTGGTGTTGTATAAAGTAATAGGTAACACTTTTGGCACGTTTCGCAACAACAAAAATGTGTCGCTTAAGTATACCCTATATGCAACACAATTTTACATATGCAACACTATTTTAGGCAACACTTCAAAAAGTTTACGTAACACCTTTTGAAATGTATACCTAACATGTATAAGCTTTATTGTGACGTGTTAATTCTGTCACATAAGAAGTGCTCAATTGTGACAACCTTCCAAGTGTAACAAATACTTTTCATTTGTGACGAGTTTGTATAGTCACCAATCATTTCCACTCGTAACAATTTTAGTTGTCACAAATGATGCGCCTTTTCAGATTCACATTTATCACAAAAGGAGGTTTTTGTGTCAGGGATATTGTCGCAAAAGGCGGATTTTGTGACATAGTTTATGTTAGCGCTGTGACAACATTAGTGACAAGAAATAAAATTTATCACGAAAGCAAACTTTTATGATAAATGGTTTTTATCACTTCTAATAGCATTTGTGACGTTGGTGTGTTGTAAGAGAAGTATACATTAGTGACGATTTGATACATGATCAAAACCATTTTATGTAAGACATATTGTCGTCACAAATATAATCAATAGTGAGAACTTTAGCCATCACAATTTTGTATAGTTAGTGAAAACCGTGTTGTCACGATTATATTTTTTGGTAACAAAATTAAACTCGAAATAATATTGTAGTGAAGTACTTTTTGTGACGCAAATGACAATTTTTGTGACGATTGTACATTGTAGCAAATAGTATACATTAGTGTCAATTTGATATGTCACCAAAAATTATTTATGTGGCAACTATTGTCATCAGAAAATACAACGATGGTGATGATTTGACTCGACATAAATACAATTTTTTTATATCAAAGCTGTCTCGTATATCACATTTAGTGACAATAACTATGACTTGTTTTTGTCATAATTGTAATGATTTTGTGACAAATTGCTAGTCACAAATACCAAATTGCAACAAGATTTTGTTAATAATAAAAATAATTCATTATAAAAAGGGAATAGATTTCGTTTAACTCAATCCATATGTAAGAAATATCTTTAACTCCAATCTCAACAATGATATAAACTAAATATAGTAGAAAAATGTACTAATAGGCTACTGTTTATGTTGAAAAGAAAATTGTCTCTCATGTCGATCGCATTTCTCTCATCTTTTCTTCATGGTTTTTCTACTTGTAGACGAGCTATTGTCTCCTCAAACTTCTTCTTTTCTGCGGCTAACTTAGCATCATACTGTTGTTGCACCTCTGCTTTGATCTCTGCCCTCAACAGATACTTATCTTTCCCTCTTCTTCTGGACCTCCTACTACTCTGAGTGAGAGCCTTTCCCGAGGCAAGACAAACCATCTCTTTATACGTCAACTTAGATCCAGCTTCAACCAACTCTTTTATTTTACCCTGTAAAATGAAGAATGTATTAATAGTTTCAAAATAAATTAGCACATACTAATAGAGACATCAAATATAATTTGAACTGATAAAATTTGATAAGATGGTAAAAGGAATTTATATAAATGGTTGACTTACGTATATTATTTTTGACCTAGGATCAGGCCATGATATTTCTCCTTTGTTTTGCCTCGTATGTTGAGCAAAATATACCTCATCATGAGACTTCATTTTTCCAGTTAACGGATCTCTCTGAAATTTGAATTTGATTAATTAAATTTACAAGCTGAGAATACAGTTTAAATATGCGAAATGGGAAAAGATAATAATTAGATTATTATTTATGAACTGAAGTTAGAAAACTCATTACCATATTTTTCGCCACTTCGCCATATGTTCTTGAGCCACAAGTATTTTTCCCTTCCACCTTTCCTCTGTTTTGCTTATTCCTCTTACTCATTTTCTATATATATTTTCCATATGTTAATAATAATCAAAGATTAAAATAAGTGTGCAGCATCTCATATAAAAAGGATACTTACTTTGAAGTCATCAGAAGCCCAATATTGAACAGCTTGCACCCAATCCTCAGTATCAACACCTTCAGGAACATAACCATCCCTTTGATTATCGGGAAGACCAAGGAAGTTTTTACGCTCGCGGTATTGCCAAGATGAATGAGCTGAGTTCATTTTTATCCACATAAGATCTCTAAGATCTTGTTTATCACTGCTAGTGAATTTCTCCTGCATACAATAACCGAACAATTAATATACCGCAGGGAGTTTGTGAACATACATATTAAAAAACTTAAAAGATAAATTTACCTCCACTAATTCAAATAATTTTTCAAATTCAGCTTCGCCCATCTTATTCCATGTCTCAATGTTCAACTTCGCATTGCTTCTTACTATTAGTCCACAAAAATTTACAAATTTTCGTGCGTTCTTACCAATAGCCTCTTTACCATCACTAGAAACATGCACCTCAATTTTATTTCCCTTCTTTGTTGCCAGCTCAACAGAGTTGCAAGTTGTCTTGCCTCTCTTCTTCTTCACTATATTAAAAAAATGCAAAGATTATTATTTAGTTAATCATAAAACAATTTGAACACATTGTGTGTACCTTCAGGTTCCTGAGATTCAAACTCTTATTCCGGTACAAAGGTGTGTCTAGCATGCAGTTCTTCTAAATAATTCTGAGTTTCATCAGAATCATATAATTCATCTGTCCTTTGGGATCGTGTCTCATCACCATCAGAACTCATTGATTTGGCTGCCTGTTCTTTTGTTTCCCTAGCTCTTTTGGTAGAATACACAATAAGACCAGAACTCATGATTCCTATCAAAATAAGAGGGGCTACTTTAATTGGGTAATGCAATTATAATACTTTTGTTAGCTAGTACGATGGCTATTTCAATACATGGCATAAAAGGCTAATTTAATTGTTTACTGCTTTATCATTCTCTTTAGTGGTGAACTCCAATTTGTTTATACACGTAAAAGATACAAGTACAGAGGAAGCAAATCATGACAAGGCTCCAAAATAGAACCCAAAACAGAGGAAAAGTAAATAAGGCAATCAAGATCACAACAAAACATCACAAAGAGTAAATAATTGGCCGAACAATAGCTCTTGAAGTAAGCAGAAACACAGGGCTAAAAAGAACAGGACTGCAAAGAAGAAACACATGTAATATTCTTGGTTTACTTGAGGTAATAAGAGAGCACGAGGAACACATATAACGCTGAAAGACAACCAAGTTTTGGGAAGAAGAGTACTACAACACCTAACATGATGACAAATATAGCAAAATACTTAATAAATTGGGCAGAGCACCTTACTGGAGATTGACAGCAACAAGGATAGAGTCCAGGAATATGAGAAGAGTAGGCAGTCGACGATGGAACAGGGGAAGTAATTCGGCAGGGGATGAAGGGTTTTTCTTCAATGGGAGAGATTTTGATATTAATAATTGTGATTGCTTTAGGATAGAGATTTATTTACAACTGGAAGAGTCGGGATCTTTTTTATGGGAACGGATCAGGTCAGTAATCTTATGGTGAGTAACCATGCGTAACCAGCCCACATCAGCATGACATCAGCATCTTCTCTCTCCTGGAAAACCTTTAATTTTCCCCTCTTTAATCTTTGACGGACGATTTCTCACTCATTTTAAGTCGAAATTTAATTTTTTTTGCACAGTTAAATAAGATTAATTGTGCTCTTCAAAATGATATCCACTTTAATATATTTTTCGAACAAAAAAAATTGAGCCATTTTTTACTAGTCTATACCATATGGTATTGACTGGTATTAAAATAAAAGCATACCTATGGTTTGAAAAACGTACCATGGTGGTATGAACAAACCAAGACTGTAGGATGGTTGAATACATGATAGTAGAAGTATATTAATTGTCATTTACGACTTTTAACATTGTATACCACACAATACCACCCCGTACTAGGGTGGTATTGTATGGTATTGTGTGGTATTTTTTGGTCCTGTAATTTGTTCACCCAGAAATTTGTAGATCCAATAGATCATGATGAACTCGTCTCTTCTTTGCAAACGTTTTCAAAAACGAATTAAAAACGAAGAAGATACCATACAATACCACCCCGTACCAGGGTGGTATTGTATGGTATTTTTTGGTCCTGTGATTTGTTCACCCAGAAATTTGTAGATCCAATAGATCATGATGAACTCGTCCCTTTTGTGCAAACTTTTTCAAAAAACGAATTAAAAACAAAGAAAATACCATATGGTATGCAGTTGGTACCGAGAGGCCAGAATTTTTTTTCTAAAAAAATATTGAAAATTGTTCTCATTTGGTAGAGCACTATGAACTCGTTCCATCTGAGCAAAAAAAGTTAAAATCCGAGTTAAAACAAAAAATATATGAGCCGATTAAGAAAGCTAGGAAACATAAAAATGGTCCTTAATTTTCCATCCTTAGATTTGGATTTTCTAAATGAAGGGTCCATATTTGGTTATTGATGGATGCATAACCCATGGTTATGCACCCTATCTTGAGCCCTTTTTTATGGTTTGGAAGATTTCCGGCCCAAGAGTTTTTACTCAGGAGAGATTTCATTTATCATCATTAAGGGAAATAGCATTTATCATTTAAGAGATGAATGAATAAAATAATGATCATTGACTACAATTGTTTTCCGGAAAAAATACTGTCCATAAATTTTCCTTTATGGTTTATGTTAATACGCAATTCACTAGGAGAAATAAAATACTTGGAATTGAGACACTCCTATTTAATGATCAAGTGTTACATTGTCTTTCAATTAATAAATTTTGGGTGTTCAGCCCAAACTTTCGTTCTAATCTTCTTTAACATACTTAATAGAGTTGTTAATTGAACTAAATATATGATATGACATGCATTATTACAGATGATGTTCGAATTGAGAGGATAGTAATACCATAGTTATTGACCTAGTTCGGTATGCAATTTTTGTTATAAGTTGAGACATATCATAAACTCTAAACGAGCCAGCTCACGAGTTTAGCTCAACAAGCCACCGAGTCGAGCTAGCTCGCAAGCTTCACGAGCTCAACAAAGCTTAGCTCATGTTCGACTCGTTAATAAACGAATCGACTTTTGAAAGAGCTTTCCTCGAGTCGAACGCCGAGCCGCTCGCGAGTAGTTCGGCACATTTGCAGCCCTAGATTCAATACATTCCTACATGCATATCATAATTTTTTAAATTAACTATACAACTATTGATGTAGTTTGCTAACAATACATGTGTTCTCACAGTAATATATATGGTAATGACTGGTGTACGTCAGACGTATACTATACGTCAGGTGATCTAGCCATTAGATGTACATAGATGAGCTCCGGCCGATCTCAACGGTCAATTTATGTTTTTCATTAAATCAAACTTCGGGTTGGGGTTTAGAAAATTGGTGCTTGGGGTTTATCCATTAGAGGTTAGGGTATAGTATCTTACCCCAAACTCGATTTAATTCATTGTCTAGATAGAGATATCTCACTAGTAGTACCTGACGTATAGTATACGCCTGACGTATGCCAGTCGAACGTTGTACGCCTGTGTTCACACTTGATTTTTACACTGCAATATATTTCGTGAATAAGAACCATCGGTTTTTATTTTTTAGATTAAATGAATCTTGTGGCTTGGGTTAGAGAATTAGGGACTGAGGTTCACCCATTAGAGGTTAGGGTATAGTATCATGCCCTAAACTCCGATTAATTCGTGCTCTAAATAGTAAAACTCGAAGACCGTACAATGTACGCCTGACGTACGCTAGCCTCAACCATATATATATAGTGACTACTTCGGTGCACTCACAAAAATGAGTGCGTTCAATGCACCCAACTCAAAAACTAGTTTTAAGGTGTCGGATTTTGAATTTTAATTTGTAGAATTAGTGTAATATGATGATATAACATAGGATACCAACTAATTAGCGGATTACCCTAAGCCCTAGACCTCCAATTTTGAGTTCTATCCCTAAACCCCAAATTGTAAACCCTAACCCTAACCCTAAATCTCTAAACTCTGAACCCCAAATTAATGTTTTTCCTAACTAGGATAAGCTTGAAAAATATTATCGCGGGAAATTAGATTACATAATGGGCCACATACCCATCCAAAGATTATTTTTTCCTAAAGTGCTTCATGCTTAGGCTGGAAGATCGATTCAGAATATTGATACGCTATTTTCTGTTTTGGGTTAGAAAGAATATATAAAAGCAGTATATAAATATATTTCAAAATAATTATCTTCGATGAAAGAATATATTGAACATGCTTGGCGGGAGATTTGATAAATAAGGATGCAAAAGAAGTGAAGTTAACCGCCAAGCTTGGAATTTGGTATTGACCGCCTTTTTGTTTTTCCCTCCATCCTCTAAAAGTTTACTGGCGGCTACTTCAGTTATATATCACAGCAACCCTACACAATCTAAGGATATCATAGTCATCATATTTGAGCGATTCGGACGGCAGTGGTCTCTCAAAACTCCTCGGAGATTTCTCCAGTTTCCGCTGCTACGACCACAAGGTAAGTAATTGATTATGCTTTGCTTCCACTCAGCAATACGACTTACAATTGTGACTCTGCTTTTTTAGTTTGAATATAAACAATATGTAGCCATGAACCTGCATCTTTCAAGAGTCCATTGCTAGATGATCAAGTGCCAGTGGTTGGATGGTTTGTGTTTGGGTTTGGTTTTTGCCCTGTCGATAGCTGCTCACGTTATGTAATCTCACTTATATAGAAGAAAGACTCAATGTAATTACAAAAAGGAAGGTAACATGGGAGACGGTTTAACATGCAGCTAGCTTGGCTTACTTTTTAATGGTGATTTTTTCTAATTTGATATTTTGGATTGTTTGTATTGTTGGCTACTGTATGTTTGCTATCTTATATAACCATTATTTCCATCGACGCATCCCTTTCTTTAATGCTTCTTAATTGTTTTCAAATATCGACCAGTATGATGAAATCAAAAGTACCAGAGAATGGCAAAATACATACGTCTCGTTGAAGAGAAAATCACAACCAGCTAAGACTGCTAATGGAATGATTGGCGTGATTCCGAAGAATAGATCGCAACTTATCGAGAAAAATCTTATCCCACTAGTTATGTAATCATCCTCAATAGAGGCACATTATCTGAGACTTCCTCTGCATCGGAACCCAAATCCCCAAAGAATAAGGGCGGTGAATGAATCCACAGAGACAGACTTATTAGATTTGCTTCTCTGTAATTGAATATGATTTGTAGTTGTGGAAGTGGTAGTTGTAGTGCTTTAGAAAAAGGTCCCTGTTGATTGTCCTTCTCTTCACTGGATTTTTGTTTGATATTCGTTTCATAGTTTGTAGCTTGCTGACCCAAAGTTCGTAATGGGAAAATAATCCCCTTTCCTTGCTGATTTCATAATGGAAAAATCAATATAGTGATTCGTGCATTGACATGGTAAGCTTTGTTTGATTCAATCATTCACACTTCAACCTGTAGAGTTTGAGGATTTTTAGATGTTCTTCAGAAGGCATAGGAAAGAAGCAAAACTGCCAAACGAGAAGTGACACAGAGAAAGGCCAAGAGAAGAGACAAAGCCATAGATGAACACAACTTCATGATAGCTGCAAGTTGGGATCTCAGATGGTCACAATCGACAGAATGGAACAGCCGAAAGAAATGACCTTGACCAATAATGGTTTATTTGCAATTCCAAATGCACAAGAGTTGTAGTTCTAAACATCAAGAAAATCGCCGCAATGTTCTTAGCCAAACAACTTCCTAAGCATCTTTATATCCTGTTTTAAGCAAGACCTCGTGCACTGCTGAGAGATCCATCCTTACACAAGCCTTCCCCTAGCCCCAATGTTCTTAGCCAAACAACTTCTTATACTGCTTTCCGAGAGCACTTCTTGGTTCTGTGAGCACCTGTCAATAAAATAACAACCATGTCAATTATAAATATTATGAGTTATGTTGTTTCTGAGCAAAGTAAGAGAAACAAAAATAGACAACCAGTAGATGCCAACTCTGAAAGTACATTTAAACTGCAGACAAGACACTGTCAGCCACCCTACAACTACAAGTTCAAGTTAACTAATTTGATATCCTTCAAAACTACTCCATTCAGATGAGACATAACTAATATAGATCTTATGGAAATAGGAAGACCAACATAACATAAAGTAAATTGTCAGCACAAGCTGTTATTCCGTTACAGCTATCAAACTTACTAATATAGAAAACATTCAATGGCTCAATCACCTGCCAAATTCTGTAGAAAACCCCTCCTTTTATAGGACTAAGAGTTCCAAGCTGGCATAACTAATCATACTATATATGGCATAACTAAGCTTGCAGGGACATAGATGCAAGCATAAATTCCATTGGGACAAAGTCAAGCAACACTGCGTAACCTGCAAACCTAACAGATCAACTATTCAGGGATGAACAAAATTTGTGAGGGTATGGCTTCTGATCTTTGTTTTTGGCTATAAATTCCATGTTGGCAGGATGATGGGAGTTCATACCAATCAAAGCTGAAAGCAGCCACGTGGAATCCTTATTTATTAATGGTCGGTGTCACCCAAAATGTTCATTCTGTATATTATTAGATACCATTTTTCATGCAGGCAGTAGGATGTTAGTTGGTTAACTAGGTTAGCCCTTACTCCATAGTCATTATCAATAAAAGAGAAACAGCACCAATGGTAGTTGGTTAACTAGGTTACCTCAGGAGCTTGCTTGTAGTCCTTGCACTCTCTGAATCCTCGAACACATCTGTATGACAAAAAAAGTATCAGCCCATTTAATTGGTGGCATTTCAATTTCTACAATTAAGCATCAAAGTTTGAGTGTGTAATGATTAACTAACCAGTCACAGTATTCATCTATATCATCTGCAGGTTCTTCTTCACTTGAGAATCTGTCTTCATCATCTGACATTTCAGCTTCTCTTGAGTGTTTATGTACATGCTCCATCATTTCAGCTTCACCTGAGTGTTCATTCTCCGTCACTTCAGCCTCAGTTGGAGCACGATCATCATGCATAGCAATGTCTTCAGGGTTGTCAACTAGTATTTCATCGACATCCTCCCGTGACCATTGAATGTCACTGTTATCAACTGGTACAACATTCTGCAAAGCATCAACTCTGAACTCCTGTGAAGAAGAAGCAGCCTCATCCAACGAACTTTCAGCTCCCATGTCAAATAAGTCCTGAGGGATTGCCTCCATGAAATAGTGTAATCTTGTTCCACGGGGTCTTGTACATAAAATGCTTGGCTTACCTGATTTGCCATGCCAAACGGGTCATTTTTGTATAATAATTTCTTCATATTGACCCGAATAAGCCCGTAGTCATCCCTTTCCGAGTGAAACCACTTGCACTTGAGCAAGACAATTTTGAAGTGTCCATAATAATCCAACTAGAGAATCTCTTCAATAGCCCCATAATAAGCAACATTAGCGAGCACCGGGCTCTTATCTCTGGCGCTAGCAAAACTAGAGGTCATGGTTGTCAATGTTACTCCACTACTTTGTGTCTGACGACGCTTATCATGCTTAATTAGAGTTTGAATTGCGAGAACCAAGGACACACAATCTGATCTCCCTCAGCTGAATTAGCAAATGCAAAGTTCAAAAAGTTATCTACTCCGTTGCGATATGCAATACTTTCCCGTGGTTTCGAAACCCAATTCTTGTCCAGCATTTCAATTGCGAGATGCAAAATATTTCAGCTCCTGTCAAAGTATGTACAAAAATAGTTCATTCAAACTACTACCAATGATGCAAACCTTATATATAAGAAGCAAAATAACACTTAAAATCTCAACCGAATATATTGCGCACTTATCTAATCAATTTCTAAGTTCTGAGCCTATTGTTTATCTAGTAAGCAAAGAAAGTTGCGTACCTGCTCAAGATTGGTTGGTATCACCCAATGAATGGAAGAACAACTAAATCAGTATCTGGACACTCTTCACCTCTAAAAGCAGAAAGGAAGCACAAGGGAAATTCTGTAAGTTTATATTAGAAGATAGGGAAAGGTATCCACCAGAGCATAATAACCTCAAAACAAACAAAATCATCCTTAGTTTCCTACCTATACAAACATACATATATATGGCGGTTTGTTAGTACTAATCCATCAAGCTTGCCTCCTCTTCCTCTCAATCACATCATAAAGTTTGTTTTCTTTTTTTTTTTTGAACCAAGCATGAACCCAAGCACACAAATAGAAAAGCAAACCCAAAACAGAATTACAACGCACTAAAAGCTATAGGCACCATGAGAGCTTTTAATCCACGAAATACAGTTATTTCACAAACCAATTTGAAGCTCCACTTAGTTGATGGGCCATTTAACTTATGATCACTCCATTATCCATAGATAATTTTGCCTTCTACTTCTGTTCTCGTCTCAATCATAGGTAGATACTTCCTTTCTCTCTTGAGAAATTTGTGGACTACTTTGATTCTGATTCTAAGCCGAGTGAAGCTGTTTTATTTTGTAAATATGTAGCAGATGGTAAAACTAGCAGCTAGCCAGTCAAGCTCTTTTCTTTTGAAGGTAAGGAGGCGAATGTAATGCTCTAATGATTGATTCAACAGTTCATAAATTAGGATATGATTAAATAAGAAGACCCGCAAACAGTCCATTGTAGCACTTGAGCGAGTTTTCACTTTCCAATCACAGCTCCTGCTGCTAGACTTGCAAGTTAAAGGTAGATTGAAACATCAGTCCCCCTATAAATGTGATTCGAATCGTCTCCTCCTCTATCTGACCCTTTTCAGGTATATTCACAAATTGATTGCATTGGCTCCGTACTTTAAATGTATAAACTCCCTAAGTAATAGCTTTTGCCTCGTACTACACAGAGCAGGAATTCCACGCTAACCATGTTTCAAAGAATAAGAAAGCAACTAAAACAACCAAATTCACTTCTCTTTTCACCACAGTTTTCTTCTTCCACTGAAATTAAGGAAACATATTGGGTTTCAAAAGCAACTGGTGGCTAAACCATGTAAAAGCTTTCATAAGAGCTCTGTAAAGCCTGAAACTAGCTCCAGAAAATGGTATAAGAACATCACCACTAACACGCAATGCTTTCCATGAATTCAAAGAAATTTGCAGCATCAAAAGGCCGAATTTGAACCACTGATAGGCAGATCAGGTTCAAACTAAGTCAACTACTCCTCGCCACATAGAAGGAAACTTCACTTATATGGTAAACTACTGGATAAGTCTTCTGGCTTATTAGTCATTGTACACTTAAATCCAGGACAGAGATCTCTAGTTGGATGTTAGTATCAAAGAGACATACAAGACAGAACAACATACCCACTGATAAGAACCTCCTTTGAGAACCGTCCAAGACAGTGACCGAATTTGCATCAGATTTCAAGGTGCTCCGATCTTTCAGAAGATCCCTAACCTTAAAGCACAAGCCAGAATGCGTTAGTAAAGGAGATTGTAGCTCAACACAGTAAAAACAGTGACTTAGAGTATTGTAAAGTGGACGCCTCATTACCTCTTGCAAAATTCGGTCAGATGCATCACCCCCCAATGCCGACACAAATTAAGCTCCAAACTGAGATGAATGGTACAATTAGCAGAATTATCATTCAATGGGAAGGACTACAAATTCTTCCTAGATATCAGAGGGATCAATCAAGGCCAAAATCTCTCCACTAAAAGCATGAATTGATTCCAAAGAGCTGAGAAGAAGGAGAAGATGGAAGTCGACTAACTAACCTTGATCGCCAAGCTGGAAGCGAGTGTTGCTTGTCCTTTTTCCTTTTCAGCCACTATGCTCTTAGCTACCGGGAAACTAGTGAGAGTTCAGGGAAGAAGAAGCCGCCGCAAGTAGCGGGAGCTGGTGGAGAAAGAACGACGAGTCCTTTCCAATTCCCAAAAGGTAAAGGTTCTTGTACTTTTTTAATGCTTTTGTGCTTTTGTGATCTGTTCCTTTTTTTTGGGTTGGAGAAAAACAATTTTATTTTCATGATTTATTATATTTTATTAATGTTTCCTTTATACCTTTGTTCTTATCCTCTATGAATGCAGAAATCCACTCGGAAAAGGTTTACTAGCACTAATTTTCCACTAAAATAAACAAAGGTCCTTTTACGTTCTTCAGTTTTAGTGTGAAATTCATATATCTAATTAATACTAAATATCAAATTTGTACAATATGTAACATTTTTATTAAGTGTTGCCTAAAATATAAGAATATATAACACAAATTATTTTATTGTACAAAATGTTGCATATTATTAACAATATGTAACAAAAATTATCGTGCGGCTAATTTGTGTTGCATAAGATATATATGAGGCAACACAAAATAAAAGTGTTGCCTATATCTATTTTATGTGACACTTTTAAAAAAGTGTTACAGAACGAGTGTTGCATAAAGTCACCTTTCGTGTAGTGGATATAGGATTTCCCTCTTTTTATCCCAGCTGCACGGCAGCAACTGAAGAAAAGCTACATGGCTTTGGAGGAAGGAATAGGTGGAAGCGATTGAAAGTTGAAACCCTGCAAACAAGGGACACAACTCACGATGGAACCCTTTTTTTCCCACCACCACCTCATTTCATTTCCTTCTTTGCCACAGTTTCTCTTGGTTTTTGGTTAAAAAAAGTCTGTTCATTGTTAAAGGATCGTGTGAAACTAGACAAGTTGAACATGAAAGTAATTTGTTCTAAAATCATGAATTAATTGTGATTCACCTATTTCATAAATCACCTAACAATTTAACATGCCATATGAAAATTTCACAATCACTACTCTTTTTTTTTTTTAAATCAATCACTACTTTATATATAACAGTTTTGCAATTCGTCGGGATTTTTTTTTGGCAGGTATGGGTTTCTGGGTCTATTCACTAAATATTTGTTTTTTTTAATTTACCACAAATATGGCGGTTTTAAGAGTATTGACACAATATTTTGTTTTGTACAGAAAACAGCGAGTCTGCCCGAGACTCAGGGGAAGCCGCTAGGCTTTACTGAGTGGACCAGCCCCAGATTGGAGCGCTGGCGCTATTGTTTTGTATTTCGTCAGTGGATAAAATACATGCCCAGCGGGTCCGCTCGAGAGTGAGGCAGGATTGGTGGCGAATTTGACTAGCGGGGCCACCCAAGTCTGGGGAGGATTCGTTATCTTCCCAAAAACACTCCAGCACCATAAAAACCCAAGCTTCCTTTCTTTCAGTTGCTTGCCACAAAAAAGAAACAGATGTTGCGAAGCTAAACGAAAGGAGCTCTCCTGGTTGCTGCAAAAGATGGCTAATTAGGGATGGCAAAAATATCCGTAACCAAGGATATCCACCCGAATCCGACCTAATCGGGTAGGGTAAAACCCGAACCCGAAGCATTTTTCGTGGGTACGGGTAAAACCCGAACCCGAATGTTGCGGGTAATGGGTGGGCATGGTTATCTCACTATCCAACTCGAACCCGCCCGATTATACACATGCATATGTATTTTGTCTAGAAATAATCATTATTTTTCTCTATAATATTTTATATTTAGCATATAAATATAATATTTTCATGAAATTATGTTGTTTTAATTAATTTTTGTCATTCTAGTGAATTATTATCGTACTTTTCCTCTTACGTCATGTGAGTATACGTGTGAATGTTAACATATTGGTTCAAATTATAAGGAGAAATTATTACCCATGGATAACCGTGGATACCCGAAACCGGAATGGGTATGGACATGGTTTTGATTTTCTACCCGTTTCTCTTATGGGTACGGGTATGGGTAAAACCCGAAGTACATTGGGTAGGGTAACGGATATGCACTATCCGCCCCCGACCCGACCCATTGCCATCCCTATGGCTAATAGGTAAGAGACACATTTATTTTTTAAATTATATTCTTAAAATGCTATTATTATTTTGTTTAGTAAGTAATTAGTGAATTTTTTTTTATGTGGTGATTTTAGAAGATTTGAACTAGTCGTTCGGTGGAAATCGGAGAAAGTAGAGGACAATTTGTTCGTCCATTTCATTTGTGGTAGAAGTTTCAGTTGACAGTTCCATCTAGGGTGACGTGTCACCAATTTTGTGAGAATCTGATTCTGAGGATACGGCGTAAAGACGAAGCATTAAAAGATAGTTATACAATCACAGGTTTCACATCACATCTGCACATTTAATATTCCAATTCAATATGCAATATTCGAATCAATGATATTTGGGTTGCAATTTTAAAATTATCCTTCATTTATAAGATAGATATATATTAAACTCAAATTCAAATAATCAAAATATGAAAATTCAAATATCAAATAAAAAATAAAGTACTTACGGGAGAGTTAGTGGATTAGCTAACAATAGTGAAAAAGTCATATGATTTTTAGAGTTTAGGTTTTCAGATTTTGTATTTAAAAAGTTACAAAATATTTCTTTAGTGTAATTGGTAATGACTGTTGTCTTTATTCAAAAAGACCATGGTTCAAATTCCGAGATTGATGTATTTTTTTCTTATAAATAAAAAAATAAATAATGATTGTGAAAACACAATTACCCTTCCTACTTTCGCTCTCGTTGTAGTAAATTTGAAATGCTGAAAAAATGCTCTCAACTCTACTATAATATATTTGTAGATTCCTGTAATTTATGTTATTTTCATAACTCATTAGTGGATTAGGATTGAATAGATGTATAAACTAAATTACAAATTTGGTCACTTGAATAGTTGAATTACTATAAAATTTCATGTTTACCACTAGAATTATTTTATTTCATTCATGGTCACTTAGGTTAGTTCAACGATTCAAGTTTGGTCACTCTCCGTTAGTCTCCGTTATGTTTATCCAATGTGGCGGCGAACACTCATAGGTGACCGTTAAATAGTTGACGTGTCTACGACATGAGTTGGTTTGGTTTATCGTCAGGAGAGCTCTCTGCCTCCGAACACTAGTTTCTGCTTCCAACTGTGGCGAGGGCTTAAAAGAAATTAGTATTTTTTTTTTTTTAATGGGATGAGATAGTGAGGTGGAAATTTAAAATATTAAGTTTAATTTTTTTAACATTTGTAAATAGATACATCAGCCATTTAACGGTCAACTATGAGTGTTGACCGCCACATAGAATAAATATAACGGAGATTAACGGAGAGTAACCAAATTTGAACCGTTGAACTAATCTAAGTGAGCGGAAATTTTATCATAATTCTAGGGAGCAAACTTGCAATTTATCCAAACTCTTGCTATATCATTTGCCTGTATTATGTGAAGAAACCAGGTTATTAGTTTGTCCGCTTGGCATAGAAGTAAAAATAGTTTTTCATCACTCTCACGCTCCAACGAGTTTCGCTATTCGATCTCTTTTTCGCATCCCATATGTTATTACGAATGTTAAACCAGGCTTAGGCTTGAGCCTCGACTTCTGAGGCACCGTTTGAACACCAAGGAGGCCAGGACCATCTTGGATCACAATTCAACGTTGCACTAAGCTGTAACAAAAAGGGGTTGGGCTCTAGGGTGTTCAAATGGTTACTATGGTAATTATCAAACCAAAAAAGTTTAAATTCTATTAACTATGCAAAACAATATCATAACAAAACCGTCCAAACTAGTACAACAACCAAATTAACCAAACTAAAGTTTAATTGGTTTGGTTAATTGGTTAACCAAAATAATTAATATACCGTCACATTATCATTAAGTGAGAAAATTTCATGTTTGTGCATCAGTTCGCAATTTATATAATGAATAAAACATAACAATCAACCCAAAATTATAGTTAGCCCTTAACACATATACATGTAACTAATACAATTATCTTAGATTTTACTCTTGAGTGGTTATGCAAAGTATTAAGAATGTCTATATAATATATAAGATATATAGCTAATTACTTGACTGATTAATTTGATTTGATCGGTTAGGAGTGTCTGAAACCAAATCGACCCACCTAAATCAAACAAACTAAACAAATTAACCAAACCAAATTATCCAAATGTTATAGGTTAAAATGGTTACTACACCGTTTGAACACCCTAGCTCCTTGTGAGTGTAATGTTTGGATGAGTCATAAAATATATATATTATTTTTTTTTATGGAATGAAAGAATTGATAACCACAAACACAAAAAAAAACAACTCGTGCATAGGAGTATAGATGAGTGCGTCGGCGTCCTCCAATTGCGGCGCCGATGCCGCCGCCGCTCGAGCCGTGAAACCCTCCATCACTCTGCTACGCTGCTGATGCGGCTTCGGGATGATGATGTGATCACGATTGGTGGGGCATTTGGAGAACCCGAGCCGTCTGTTCAAAAATGGGTAAGTGGCGGCGGCGGCGGAAGTGGAGGTGGAAGCAGGTTGCGGAGAGAGTGAGAGGAAAGAAGAGGATGAGGCTACGGCCACGACTGTCCTGCTGCTCAGCATTTTCTTTTCTCCTCTGCGAGCGGGCAGTTTGAGTTGGTTCGCTTCGACGAAAGGCCGCCATTAGCTAGCAAGCAAGTGGCGGGTGCGTTTGGAGTGGATGATGCGTATACTCGAAATTGAAAAGCTATTTTCTATTTATTTTATTTTTTGTTCAAAAAGAAAAAAGGAAAGGAAAATGAAAATAAGTGGAAATTAAAAAATATTAATTGAAATTTGTTGAGTTGGCAGTGACATGGCGCGTTGACCGTTAGTCAACGCGTTTGACTGTCCAAGTTAACGGTCAAATGTCGGGTCTGACCAAATTAGTTATTTTGATGTATAGTTGGTCAACGCGTTTGACTGTCCAAGTTAACGGTCAAATGTCGGGTCTGACCAAATTAGTTATTTTGATGTATAGTTAGGGCCAGGATGTTATAGATCGAAAAAATTGACAAGGATATTTATTTTAGCCAAAGTTCAGGCCATACAAATATATCAACCCTAATTTTTACTATTATTAAAATAACTACTAGATCAGGCATTACACGAAGAGGTTCTAACTTTCCTGCAATAAGCAGTTAAGCACTGTTCATATTCCTAAACCAAAACGAACTTGACTCACCATTTGATCAATGAACAGCCCCGAAGCACAAAAGATTAGGCTGGTTATTTGGTTCGGGTTTTTTTATTTTACTCGAAACCGGATCGTATAACCCGGATCGAGACCAGACCGGTACCGGATAGTAAACCATTCAATCCAATATTTGGGCTTAGATTTGAGGTAAAAAAAACTGTTCGGGACCGGATCGAAAACTAGATAAAGACTGGATAAGAGAGCTCAACACCCAAAACTTAAGGGTAATTTGCATAAACGGTCACAAACCATTGCACTTAGTACAAAACTTAACCAACTCCTCACTCTTCCAGGCCTTAGGCCACTCAAATCCCCACAAGCTCAATATAAAATCAAGATTGAGTTGGGACCAGACTGGGTCAAGACCGGATCGAATGAAGACCGGACTGTATCCAATCCAATCTTTGGTCCTTATATTTTCAAAAAAATCGGACTAGACCAGATCAATTTGGGCCAATTTAACCGGATCGGACCGTATAGCCACTCTACAAAAGACTTCCTGTAATGCCACATTCTAACTCCAATTTGAGAACTCTATGCAGTTTTGGAAATCAATGCATCATCTGCTCACAAAACTAATCGTGGTAGACCTACTTCTCTATCGTAAGGAATTCCCTTGCAACAAGAGTCTCAGACTTTTCTTACTAATCGACACCTAAATTAGTAAAGTGATTAGACTGCAACAAAACATTAAGGTTGACAATACCTAATGCTATCACAATCAAGAATGAGCCCACTTCACTTTTGTCAAAACCTTATCAACCGAACACTGTGTTTATAGCTAGCTCTCGGTATCAATTGCCTGTGAGGGGAATGGGGGGAATCCAATCAGTAACATCCAGCAAGAGCTTCATTATCACGCCTAAGTCCACTCGATTCACTCTCAACAGATACAAGTAATCTTATCTTTGGACAGAAGCAAGCAGATTTCAGGGAAAATGAAGGTTCTTTGCCATTCAAAATAGTTGCCCAAAAGGAAACTTCAGTACCTAAACCAATAACAATAAACAAAATTTTGTGTCCTCAACTATATTTACAGAAGTTCCGTAATCAAATTCTACCAACTAGCAGTGAACTATGCCTGATTGCTAAAACAGCAGAGTTAGCTTGCACCTTTCAAGCAAAACTCAGCAGCCATTTTCCACTTTCACTGACTTCAAATCAAGACTCGGAAACTTCTATCACATCTTCAAAATATGCAGTGGGTATCTCTGGAGGTGATGGCATTACCGCTACATTTTTGAACTGTTACAAGGTAAAAAAGAATGGAAGAAAAAGTCAGGTTTAATCAGAACAGTAAATAAACTTGTATGTCAAAGCCTAATTAGAAACACTTGGCAAAACAAGTACCTTTTGGTGCTTATACTTGTCACGAACAGATTGCAAGCCACCTCCTCTTCGACTCAAGTAAAGGTCGTGTATGATTAGCACACATTCCTTCAACTCTGCTGGCTTGTATCCAGAGTACTTTTGTAAGTTGGCATTCTGTTCAAAGTTGAAAACATAACTCAGTTAGGTGCACCTCAATAGCTTCTCCAAATTTAGAGATCCGAATAGGTGATTTTGATGGAATTGCTTACCCAGGGATTTGCTTTTGGCTTCAGTGTGAATCTTGAAAGGAACACAACAGATGCAGCAACTAAAGATGGCAAGAATTTCACACAATTGTAATCCAATAAGCTCAGCTCAGCAAGATAGAATCCCATGAACTCAAGCTGGAGAGACTCGGTCTGTAAACAAGTCGACAAATGACAATACGAATCAGCAAGCGATTCACATCAATCAACAATCTTTATAGATACAACAGGAGGTAATGCATATATACTCACTTTGTAATCCTCCTGAGCAACTCTATTGAATCGCCTAAGAAATGATTTTACTGTGGGGGTACCCATTTCAAAGTTCAAGAACTTAAGTATGTCAGCTTCCATCTTCAACACCTTCAGAAACAACCAAAACCCACATCCAATTAATCAAAAGGAAAACTTGAAATCAACCCACATCAACAACCAAACAAAACAGATGATGCATTGCAGACATGGAACCAGAATGATTAGCTACCTCATTTTTTGTGTATGTATTATCGGTGATGTAGCAGAACTCCTCCACATGTGGAGGGGTGATCTCTTCATACTTTCTATTAATATCACAACAATAGAGATGAGTAAGCAAAAGGGTCATACAAGGAGCAAATCTAGCAGCAAAACAGAGAAATCAATGGGAAATAGGACTTCTTACGAGGCAATCATCATAGCAGAAACACCAAGTAGCTGAAGGCGCTGCTTGCTAATGGGATTCAGAGATAAGAATCTATCAATGTAAGCAATGGAGAGGTAGAGAGTATCAGTCAACAGCTTGTACTCTTCGGCTACCTCCACCAGCCAATCCACAAGAATCCCTCTCATGTTTGGAGTCACTTCAGATTGGACCTTCTCAATATAATCAGGCAGTGGTCTTCTCTTTGGTTCAGCCTACAGATCAAACCCCCCAAATTAACATCAGAACAAAACCCTAAACCCTAATTCCACGAAACTTTTATAAGTTGAAGGCAAATATCCAATCAAAATCTCAAATCACCTCTAACTTGTGAAGATACTCGTAAATATCGGAGGCGTAATACTGGCACATCTGAGGATCATCGGGGCTTCCATCTCTGTCCTCAATCCCAACTTCGACCGTCACCGCTGGAACTTCATCTTCCAGAACTGGAGCAACAACCTTCTCGGCCTTATTCTTAGGCTTGGCCTTCGCCTTCGCCTTGGTTTTCCGCTTCTCCGGCCGGTCACCGGAAGTTAGATCCACCACCACAACTCCAGCGTTCGCAGCCTGAGGAAGCTCCCCCAGCACCACCCTGCTCTTCTTCTTCTGTACCGCATCCGCTGGCGTCGTCATCGCCGCCGCTGCCCTCTTCCTGGCAGCGCGAGTGAGGGGAGCGCAGTTCTCTTGATCCGCCATTTGAACTAGCTCCTTCTGCCTCGGCCTCTCACCGTCCGGAAGAGAGCTGGAAGATGAAGGACGGAAGAGAGGGCGAAGAGATGGGAAGAGTAGTGTGGTGTGAGACGGAGAAGTGGGGGGATGAGATTTTGTAATGGGATGGTGGGGAAGAAGAAGAAGAGGGAGTGAAAAGGAACGAGCGCCATTTTTGTTTTTCAAAACGAGGGGGGAAGATTTTAGGGTGTTTTTCGGGCGCTTGTTGTGCGTTTCAAGCTTGGCTCGAAAGTTTTTTGGGGTAAGGGGGGAATTAAAAAATAATATAATTTGATTTTTCAGGAGGGAGACGGCGGCGGAGGGTGGAGGCGATTTTCGCCGCTGGGCATTTTTCGAAATTCTAATGGAAAATTTTCTGGCGGGGCGTGGCTGGCTGGGGGGAATTTTTCGGGTTCGTGTTTAATTTCTTTTGCTCACCCGTTTCATTTCGGCGGGTGGTGGCGGCCCGCCCAAAATTTGCCTTCTTCATCCCGAGTGAATGTGAGCTTTTATTAGCCGTTGGATGAAGGAGCCATCCGTGTGATGTTGCATGATCCAGCGGCTGGTAAGTGAAGTGTCGAATTATTTTTCAGTTCCCTCCCTCATCTTTTTTTCTTTTTCATAGAAACCCTTGCGGATTAACTAGGTAAGCACGAGAGAGCCACAATACACCGGCTTCTTCGTGAAATGATAGTCAAAGCAAATAAGAACAATTAAAACGAACACTACAAGAACCAGAGTAGCATAAGGCATTACGTGCCACAACATGGGCAGCCCTCCCTCATCTTTATTTTGTAAGTGGTGCGACGGGAAATTGTCTTCCCCGAAAGAAAAAAAAGTTTAAGTTCGGAGCGCTATTCGAAGGTGTTTGCATTATGAATTTGAAAAAATGAAAATTTTGGTATAATTGAAGGTGTTTGCATTATGGAATTGATAAACACCATTGTTAGTTTCATGTATTTCATGGTAGATTTTGCTAATTAAATTTGTATGTATGAAGTGAATGTTACTTTCTTTTATTGCCCTCAATGATATAAGAAGATGAATAAAATATGAGGGGTAGGTTGGTAAAAAACGATAGACTTCAAAGTCCATGATCAATTCCCACCTAAAGATGTGAGATTTTCAAGTCCGTGGGACCCACGAATTTGTACTGTCAAAGTTCATGGGTCCCACGGACTAGTTACCTCTAAATACTTGAAGCAAACAATGGATTTTGGAGAAAGTCCATCACGGTTACAAATCCTTCACCAAATCCATCAAGCAAACTAATTTGGTAGAGGACAATCCCACGTTTACACCATCTCAAACGATTAGTACTCAAATGAAAAATTCGAGACTAGATTTGATATTAAATCTCCATAAAAATGAGTGTTTTGATTCAATTAGACCATCTTAATGATAAAATGTCAAAAATTTTAAGTTAGATTTAAAATTCTAACTCCACAAAGTAGTTTTGTTCCAATAATGAGAGTCAAATATAAAGGGGTATATTGGAAAGTTGGTCATTGATATTACTAAAAATGTTCATATTTGATCGCTGAAAATATTTAATTCAATTAGTGTTCACTAAGTTTAGTAAAAACGTTCACGTTTGGTCACTCTCCGTTAGTCATCATCCATCTACGTTAACGGAGTACGTTATGTGCTGACGTGGAGGACGAAACCATCTAGTCAGCCATATTCAACACGAAAATAGTGAAACCCGACCCGCCACATCACTATGACCCGCCATGTCAGCACAACCAACCCAACCCTTTAACCATACCCGATCCATGAACCGACCCACTCAAATTAAATCCCTAAAATGTATAACAGATCCACAAAATCTGTCTTCTTCGATAGTGCCTCCTTCCTCCTGGCTTTATTCGTCCTCCCCTTTGTTCGACAGTTCACCTGCGACGAGGGAGGGGTGGAGCCACCCACGCCTTCCTCTTAATTCTCACTCTTCATGTTTCAAACTCGCCTATTTTCTTCTTCTTCATCGCGTGACGTCATCTTTTTTCCTCTATTTAAGTAGACAAAGAAACCCAAAATTGAAGCTCTTATTCTCTTATGTTTTCTCCAACTATAAAGGTGAGTTTTGCTAGTTTTTCTCAGCCTTTTGCTGTTCGAGCCTGGTCTCTAGAAAAGAGGAAGATGGGGGATGACAAAAGTGACGAACGGGTGTTCTGCCTTTTTGGAGTTCTCTTTTAGCTTTGTTTTATCCTAAAATTTTCACGCTCTTTTCTGTTTTCCAGGTCCTCATTTCATTGAAGAAACCATGGGGGGCATGTGTGGGCACCAAATGCGACGCAACCAAAATATCGTGAGTTCCTCATCGTTATTGCTCTTGTCTTTATGGTTAGATATATGTTTTGGGTCATCATATTCGACAATTGGCGTTTATTTAGTGATTGTCATTTGAACCCACCCAGCAGGTATCACCCTAGCTGACCCGCGATGGGGCGGATAATACCCGACCCGCAATAGCGTGGGCCAGGACACGAGTATACACTTCTGACCTATCCAGCCCCGCCACTCCCCATTCTTGGCCAATTCTATCTCAATTTCTTACCATAACACTAGATATTTCTCATATTATGACTTTTTCAACTAGTTAGAGTGGATATTTCAACTTGTTAGACTCAATTACTCATTCTATTATCACTATTTTGCATTTTATAAAGTGTTTTCCCATTTGTTTTATCATAAAAAGTAAAATTTGTGTATTTTTTTCAAATAACATGTAAGAGTGGGTCGACCCGCCCCACCCCGTACCCATTCAGTTTTTACCCTCCCCAACCCGCAGTACCGTAGGGCATGGGTATTAAGATACCCGCCCTACCCCGCCTCATTGCCATCACTACCTTTATTAGAGATAAGTGCAACACTTGGTGACTCACTCCTACTGTCACTCTAGAAAATGGCCAAGTGAAACCACTTCCTAAAGCGTAGTATAGCGGGTTTGGGTTTTAATGTCAACCCGGGTCCTAGATTTGATGACTACTCGGTGAATTCTTGTTATCTAGCAACGAAACTTTAGTGCAGGTCTAGACTAACAAATAAGCAAAGCAACTAAACGGTTGTTTTCAGGTTAAGAGAGGTCACCCGGATATGGTTCCCCCTAGACTGCAGTTAAGTCGGATTGCAATTACCAAGTTCAGTTTCTATGATAGTTATACTGCGGAAGGTTCTTAAGCAGTCTGAAGTCTCGACTAAAGGTCTCCAGACCCTCTCAATCTAAGTCTCTAGCGGGCGACTAACCTCCACCGGAGTAAACAGATTGAGGCCCTAACGAACAAAACCTCCACTACCGAAGTGAATTCGGTACAGAATAGTGAGTTGGCTCCTCGACTAAAGTCACCAACTCCCTACCTTCAATCAAGGATGCTCTATCAACCTAGGCAGATATTCTCATTCTAGGTTAAAGCAGAAACAACAGGAATTTGATCAGGATTCATGCCATTCAATCATTCAAACCTCAATTGAATATAATCAAATCATAGAATCAGTACTTGGGTTCATACAATCATACCTAACATACAAATCTAGGGTTTCCCATACCTAGATGAATGGGAGAACTACTCCATGGAGAAAGAAGCAAAAGCAGATTCAGACGCGGAAATCATACTGTGAAGGATGGATTTCTGCTCCTGGACGTTGATCGGCACTCCTCCAAGCTCAAGCCAAGCTCCAATGGTGATGAAGATCAAGCTAGGGAACTTGGGAACTCTTGTTCGTCACTTTCTCTCTCTAGGAATCGCTCTGTCTCTCTAAAACTCGAATCTCCTTCTGTTTTGGCTGAAATCTTCCTAAAAGGGCATCACTGGGCAAAACACGATCGAGGGCACGGCCGTGTTCTGCTCCAGCCCGCCCGTGCCCTTGCCAAGTGTTAAATACACGGCCAGACTTTTGGGGAAAACACGAGCGTGCTTTTGGTGGGCACGGCCGTGTTTTGTCTCAATCCTGCCCGTGTTTTGAGCTAGTGTTTGACAGACTCAGATCAAGTCTCGGGAGTAAAAACACGGTCTAGGAACACGGCCGTGCTTTGATTTAGGCATGCCCGTGTTTTGGCTCCAGCTCGACCGAATGACTTCCGAATGCCCCGAAACTCGTGCTTAGCCTTTCCTTCGACGTCTGGGACCTGAAATATGACAAAGTAGCACAACCCGGCGTAAAATAGGCCAAAAATACATGACTATGCCCCTCAAACGGATAAGAACTAGGGGTGCAAATATGTGCAATTACATCGTTATCAAATTCCCCCACACTTAACCGTTTGCTTGTCCCCAAGCAAACCAAGTCAGACACAAGGTAAGCTCAAAACGTTTCAATCAAGCATGCTTTAAGGCATATCATATCGGCACAAAACACGTGGATCATACTAGCTTTCGATCATTAACACATGGACAACCTCAATGACAACCTAGACAACCACCACAGATGACATTCGCATGCAGTAAAATCGAGCAAAGGAAGAGTCTCCCTTCTGTTCACCAACCAACATAGACTTGACTCAACCACATATTCAAGACAGTCGCTTCATGCACAAAGCTCAAGATATCAGAATTAAGACCGAGCAATCTAGGTCCTCACCGGGATAAAGAGTATAGAGAATATGAGAAAAGGAATCGCTCATTCTCGACCAGTGGGGTCAGGACAATTTGATGCGAAAAATCCGCATGCTCAATCTCTCAATCCCTAACGTCTCTTCACCATGAATGTCGCCTCTAAGTGCTAGAGTTCACATTTGGGGTGTCACCACTAACTAATCCGGAGGTCTTAGACACAGGTACAGATGACTGGCTAGGGTCTTGGACATGGGGAAAAGGCCTTTTAGGTGGTGGAAGTATTCATAGTACAAGGTTCCACCTTTCCAAATCCACAAACTCACAGTCAATCAAACCAATAACTTTCTTTATGCTATTCTGCATTACTCAAATTCTTCAGAGCACAAGAGTGAAGGAGGTCACATAAATGCTAGTATTTCTAAGGCAGACTGCTAAGAAACACTACTTAATGGGCACTATTTCATTTTTGGTGGTGGCTCTCTTTTGCTTGCATTTTTTTCTTTGTTTTTCTTTCATTTTTTTTTCATTTCTTAAGAGAACCACCACCTCTGCACATTTTCAAACACCTGCCCAACTTTTTAGCACTACCTCCAACCCTCACATTACGTTTAGCAGAAACAACAGAGAACATGTAAAAATCACTCTGTCGAACCTTCTAAAAGATGCAAAAG